TGATAATTCTTCAGCCTTTTTTCTTTCTTCACTAATATGTATACATCAACACTGTCTTTGAACATATTTAAAGCAATTCTACACTCATTTTAACATTTTGACTCCTTTAGGTGGTCTACTTATAATTCTATTTTCAGGGTAATTTTACTGAGCTTTGATTTTTTTTCCTTTACATCTATGGTCTATCAATTTTCCCCACATTTTCTTGTTTTTAAAAGTCTATATTTCTGTTTTAGATACCTTTTCTTGGTTTAAAGTATGTACTCATGTCAATCCTACCTAAAAACACAGTGAATAAACTGCCCCTTGATTTATCTCTTTTTCTTTAGCTTATGATTTGTTTTCTTAACTTCTCCAGAAAAGTTTAATGTCTAGAGAATAATTTATAATAAATGTCTAATTTCTCTTCACATTATGTCATCAGAGGTTTGTATTCTTGCAGTTGTAATTCCACAAGAATCCTTACTGATAGAAGACACCAGGGATCTCTGAAATGCTATATTCAATAAATAATTGTCATCTTCATTTTACTATGTCTCTTTGTTTCCTTTGCTGTGGTGGTTGTTTACCCCCAGGGATTCTCTACATTTTTATTTCCATAAAATCATACTTATATGGCTCTCCATATACTTCTGTGATGATTCAGTATCTTAATGTTTGTTTTTATCCTCTTACTTCTTAAACACGGTTGCCACTCAGAGATCTCGTTGTCCCTCAGATGTCTGTGCTGTACTCCTTATACTTCTCAGTCTAATGTATTCAACATTACATTTTAACTATTGTATATATATTAGTAAAATTATTTTTATGTTTCTAGTCCAGAATTTGGCTTTGAACTTTATTTTTTCCCGTTTAATGAGATTTATTAAAATTTTGCCATCTTGCTTTATTTATATGCCTTCCATCCCTAATTATTTGTTAGTATTTTGAAAAAAAATCACAGATGTCATGTAATTTCATCCATATACTTCAGAATGCATGTATAAGAAATAAGTTTAAAACCTACAATATTTGGGCCGGGGATTTAGCCCAGTGGTTCCATTGCCTGCCTCTCAAGTGCAAGGTCCCAAGTTCAATCCCTGGCACAAAAAGAAGAAAAAAAAAAAAACCCTACAATATCATCACCCTTCTTAAAAAACTGATAATAATTCAATGATACCATTAAATACCTAACCCATCTTCAGTTTCTCTTAATTATCTTAAAATGTTCTCTTTTCAATTTAATCAAATCACAATTCAAGTATTGTCCATATGTTGCATTTTTGTTATTATATTTCTTAATCAGTATCAACCCTCTAATTTTTTGTCATTGTTTATTGGCACTCTACTATATGAAGTATTAAAACTAGCTGGTAATTTACCCATTTTCTCTGCCTCTTTAAAATATCCAATTTGAAATAATACTGCTTAATTCTAAGAAAATAATCGGAAATTAGAATTATTTTTTTATTTTTATTTCTCTTTCCTTTAGTCGCACAGTTTGTTTACTCTTTAGATCATATCGTCACTCACTTTCTTAATGTCTTCCTTAGAATGACTCACAAACACTTCATCCCAAATGGTTCAAATATGATGCTTTTGCTTTCCTAAAGCATCTGCTGGTTTCTAGTATTATTAAGTTAATACAATTTTTATCTACTTACTCTACCAAATCTAGAAATCTTTGCAATTTTGACTTATTTTTAAGATCTTCACATCCAATTATATTCCAATTACTACTAAATTTAGTTGTTAAATACCTATCAAACTAATCTCTCTAATATCACTGCCCTTACTGCCATAGTTTTCTCTCTAAACTTCCCATTCCCCATCAGATCTTTTAAATTCACTCCCCAAATATGCATCAATATGTGCCGTCTTCAATATACATTTGAAAATATCACTTACTCTGCTCAAAACTGCTCCACAATTTCTGCTTTCTGTAGTAATGTTTTTTATTTAACAGTTGTGAATTGTAAGAGCAAAATTTCACCTAGAACTCAATAAACACACACATATTTCTAGTGATTTAAGGTTCATAACTCTAACTCTTAATTATATTTAAAAGTAATTCCTGACCAGTATGATAAAAGTCAAACACCACCATCATCAGGGAACCCCCTTTCATTCTTATAGAACACTTCAGTATGCCTTTTTGTTTGCTGATTTTTATCTGAACTCTCTGAGGTGGGAAGGACAGGTATTATATTTGCATTTCTACTTATGGATGATGATGGCACTAACACAGAGATGAAATGACTTACTCATGCTTTTCTGTTATTTTTAGGTTATTTAATTATGAAAATAATACCATGTCTTAAGAGGCTTATGGTGTAGGGGGAAATACAACAAAAAAAATATAATAAGTAATATGTAAAAGTAAATATAAAATAAGCCACTGAGGATAAAGCGATCAACTTTGATGAGATGGTAAAGATCATGGAAAATAATTATACAAAGACACCTACTAAGAAGAAGGGGAAAGTACTTTCTAGGTCAAAAAGGATATAAATAAAGAGATAATATGAGAAGGAAGGATAGACCCAAGATTTGATAAGTAACCCACCGTAGCAGCATAAGGGGCAATATGAAAATGATGCAAATGAGTTTTGAGGAGAAAAATTATTATTTGCAGGCTAAAGAAGAAAGGTAGTTATGAAATGAAGTACAAATGAATTTGAGCTTTTGGCCTTTAGGAAATAATAGCCATAACGTGAGTAAAAGTAAAGAAACTGGACAGTGGGAACAGGTAAGAACTTGTAGAGAATTGTCTAAAACTCTAAATTAGATGGAAATTAATAAATGTAGTTCTATAGTATAGATGGTGAGAGAAATTGGAATCAAGAATGACATAAGCTTCCATATTTTGACAAAGTATACATGTTATAACCCAAAATAGGAAATGAAGGAAACTGTGAGGGAATGCATGATCTTGGTTTGGAAAATGACATATTGATGTGTCTGAAGGGTCTTATAGACAAACAATGATGAACTCAAAACAGGAGACAGGCTTGTTGTAAGTAAAATGTATTTAAGCCTATTGTGTAAAGAAGAATAACACCGGATAGTTTGATAGGACTACTGTAACAAAACTCACAAACTGAGTAACTGAAAAAATAAAATATGTTTTCTCACTGTTCTAAATATTGTCAAGGATGATTCCTTCTAAGAGTTGAGAGAGAAAATCTTTCCATAGTTTTTGCCTAGATCCAGGTGTTTTGATTTTGTTTTGTTTCACCATCTTTGGTGTTTCTTTACATGTAGACACACGATCCCAATCTCAGACTTCAGGTTCACATTGTACTCTCCCTCTGGCTGTGTCTGTCTCTAATTATCCCCCTTCTCAGAAGACAACAGCCATATTGTATTGGGGACCAATATTACCCCATTTCACCTCATGGTAACTTAACTAGTTACGTCTGCAAAGACCTACTTCCAAATAAGGTCATTGAGAAAGTTTTTTTGTTTTGTTTTGTTTTGTTTTGTTTTGTTTTAGGGAAACAGTTCAACCCCTAGCAAGCTCTCCAAATGAGAGAGTCAAGCGAGAATATTTATGGGTCATATTAATTTTATGTTAAGTTTTACAAAGTCTATATGGGACTTGGCAGACTTTTTGAGAAGTTAGTTTTAGATTATAGGGTAAAAGGAGAAAAGAAATGCAAAATAGGTTTGACACACAAACTGATCATTACAAGAGTATTTGGTAGATTTTTAGTTTTACTATCCCAAATGGGAATACACTGGAGCAAACGAGGTATGTTATTTTTCTTGATCTCGGTTTGTTAAATAGGGAATTAAGAATATACTTTGTCACAGAATCATTTAATATATCAAAATTGCAATAATGTTGATTTAATCCTCATCTGTATATTTTTAAAACTTGTCAATTACATAATCTTAACTTTCCCACCATTGGTTGATATATCCCAAAATAGTCTATCATTACTGGTTCAAATACATGATCTAATAAAATTCATCTTTTATTTCTTACACTGCTATAGTCATTGTTGTGTTGATTGCTTTAAATCTTTCTTGCTATCCTTCTTATATTTCTGAAAGTCTTCAGAAGGATTATCAATTCATCTGTAAGTTTGCCGATGTCTTTTTCCCTTTTTCTTTCTTTCTTTCTTTCTTTCTTTCTTTCTTTCTTTTTCTTTCTTTTTTCTTTCTCTTTCTTTCTGTCTCTCTTTTATTCTTTATCTTTATCTCCTCTCTCAAGTATTCTGCTTTCTAGACAAATTATCTGCTCCTTCAGATTCCCTAAATAAAAACTATATTTATAATTATAAACAATTTTATGGGATACTAATAATGTTGATAATTCCAATTTATTTAGTTATTAACATTATCAGCATCCCATGTGTGCTTGCATCTTAAAACTTGACAACAACCTTCAAGGAAAAAGTGAATTACAGTACTGTATCTCTGACTAATTTCAATAATCTTAATACTAATCTTAATACTAAGATCTGGTTCTTTATGGCAGCAGGTATGCATATGGGATTCCTACAACCAAGTATATGTTCTTATTTTGTTGAAATCAGTTTGACAACATTTAAAATATGTACATTTTGCCTAGGACATGATTTCTAAGTAATCATGTTGACCAAAAGCATTCTGTCCATTCTATCAGGCTTAAAACATTCGAAATATAAAATACAGAAAGGATTTAAAATAAAGTTTTTTTCAGTGAATGTGTGTATGTATTTGGGGAAAAACTGATGGTGAAATGTCAAAAATTATCTCTCTTTTAAGAAAACATTATGTCTTTGACCCCATGTACCAAAAGAAAAAGAAAAAGAAAACATTATTTGTAAATACATATAATGTCCAGAATTATAATGTACTACTCATTTAGTTTATAAATGATCTGTGATGGGTAATTAGATCAGTAGGATGTAGTCCAACAATCAACAGAAACCCTAAAGCAATTTAGAGTTGTTTTGAATCTTTAAAGAAAATCCAATAATGAGTTGAAAGAAATCAATAGTTTTAAATGTTTCTTTTTTTATTTGCCACAGGGTCCAAGTTTTCTCTCTGAGGCAGCTTTTCCTCAACATGCAATAAAAATTGAAGAAATAGATCCTTTCTTCAACCTTCATGAAACCATTGCCAAGGTAGGGGAGGAATGGGTTCATGAACTCATGAACTCATGAACAGGATGGGGAAAGGTGTTGCTTTGTTGTTATCCCTCAATCACTTGGCCCCTTCCATTTACAAAAGATCTATCTCCCAGATTTGTATAATTTATCTTATACCTTGCTCTTTGTATATATTTTATGATTCCCATATAAGAGAAACTATGCAATATTTAAGCTTGTATGTCTGACTTATTTCAACAATACTATGGACTCAAGGTGCATCCATTTTCCTAAAAATGACTCCAAACTTAATCTTTGTAACAGAGTAATACTGCATTGTGTATAAATACCATATTTTCTTTATTCATTCATCTGTTGATGGACCTATAGGCTGCTTTCAAGATTTAGCTTTTATAAATTGTGTTGCTATAAACATGGTTATGCACATATCACTGTTATATGATTCTTTAATTATTTTTTTTAATTTTTTTTTTTTGGTACCAGGGATCAAACTCAGGTCCTTGTGCTTGCACAGCAGGTGGAAAAACCACTGAGCTAAATCCCTGGCCCAATTCTTTAATTATTTATGGAAGATACTTATAGGGAAAATACCTAGGTCGAATAGAATTCCTAGTTTTAATATCTGAGGAAACTCTATATTGATTTCCATAGTGGTTGTACCAGTTCATATTCCCACCAACAATGTAGAAGTGTTCCTTTTTCTCCATAGCCTCTCCAGCATTTGTTATTATTTAATTTCTTGATGATAGCCATTCTTTCTGGAGTAAGATGGAGTCTCAATGTTGTTTTCTCATCTGTCTAAGTGATGCTGAACTTTTTTTATGTATTTACTAGCCATTTTGTACTTTTTCTTTGGAAAAACATCTATTCATTTTAGTTATCCATTTTTGGATTGGGTCTTTTATTTGGGGGAGTTGAATTTTTTGTCATTCTTTATATATTTCAGATATTAGCCTTCTGTCTAAGGTACTAAAATTTTGCCCCTTTTGTATGTTGTCTCTTCCCTCTATTGGTTGTTTCTTTTGTTATGCAGAAGCTTTTTAATTTGATATGATTTCATATCAAAATTTGTTGATTCTTGACTTTATTTCTTGTGCAATTGGGGTTGTCTTCAGAAAGTCTTGCCAACACCTATGAATTTAAGAGTTTTACCTATTATATCATCCAGCAGGTTGTTTCTGTTTTAACATTTAGATCTTTGATCCATTTTTATTTTAGTTTAGTGCATGGTGAGAGATATGTGTCTAGGTTCAATTCTTGTATGTGTATAAGCAATCTTCCCAGCACCATTTTTTAGAGTCTATCTTTCCTCTAGTGAAAGTATTTGGCTCTTTGGTTAAATAAAGTAAGGTAGCTGAGTGTGCCTGGAGCTGTTTCTGCATCCTTTATTCTGTTCCATTGATTCACAAGTCTGATTTTTTGCCAATACCATGCTGTTTTTTCATTTTTTCACTTTTCTGTATTTTTGTAATCACTGTAGCTTTAGTATACAGTGGACTCTCAAGTTATGACCGCCCTAACATATGAACAATTTGGGTTAATTAGGTCAATAGACCTGATTCTTCCTCTTGTTATCTATAGTGTGTACACAGGTAAACATCCAAATCTCACCTCTATTGACTTATTTTCAACCAGCCCTCAGGAACCGATTGAGCTTGTGGTCAAGAGTCCACTATAACTGAAGTCTGGGATTGTGATCACCCCATGCCTTGCCCTTGTTGCCTATAATTCTTTGTTTTTTTAATTTTTTTTTTTTTTTTACTATTGTGGGTCTCTTCTGGTTCTATAAGAATTTTAGGGTTGCTTTCTCTAGTTATGTTAGGAATGTTATTGATATTTTGGTAAATATGTATAACAGTTTTAGAAATATGGCTATTTTGATTATATTATTTGTGCCTATCCAGGAACACATTATCTTGTCATTTTTATCCCGTTCAATCTCTTTTTTCAGAGTACTACAGTTTTAATTGTAGAGGTCTTTCACTTTCTTGGTAAAGTCAATGCCTAAGTATTCCATTTTTCTTGATGCTATTGTAAAAGGTGTTGTTTCTCTAGTTTCACTCTGGGTGAATTTCTAATTGCTGTGTAGGAACAGTATTGATTTTTAAGTGTTGACTTTATATAACGCTATGCTACCAAAATTGGTTATTAATTTTAGGTGTCTTTTTGGGGAGTTTTGTGGTCTTTCCTGTAGAGGATCATATCATCTGCAAATAATGATAATTTAACTTCTCCCTTTCCTATTCATATCCCCTGTGTCTCTTTCTCTTTTCTAATTGCTCTGGCTAAGGTTTTGAGAACTATGTTGAAGAGGAGTGGTGATAGAGAACATCTTTATCTTGCTCCTGATTTTAGAGAGAAAGCTTTTAGCTTTTCTCCATTTAGTATGATGTTGGCCATTGGCTTGTCATAGATGGATTTCATCAGATTGAGATAAAGACCTTCTATACCTATTTTCTTTAAGGTTTTTATTATGAATGGATGTTGGATTTTGCCAGATACTTTTCTTGCGTCTATTAAGATGATCATGTGATTTTTGTTTTACTGGAATTATTTTTATAGCTGGGCAAAGGCCTAATGTTCTGAGGGTTGTGAGAGTAGAGAGTATTTGCATAGGTGGCAGAAAGTATGCAGTTGGGTGGAAGTGTACACAGGAATTGAAGCAGGCTGTGAGATTGTTAAAACATATTAATATATTGTAAATACAATGGTGCAATTTGGTTTGCAAACAGAAGCATTTGGCAAAATTTTGTTTTTGTTTGTGAACCCTGCACTGGGTGACAAACACTAAGTGGCCATCTTTCTGGTGCAAACACGAACATGGACATCTTTCCCAGAATTGTGGAATAAATTAAGTTCCTGAACAGAGGTATCACTGTACAAGTTTTTTTTTGAATCTTCTAAATCCAAATTTGTTAAGGACTGCCCTTACATGCCCTTGAATCCTACAGTATTATTTACATTATAGCATTGGTTAATTGTTATTATCTAATGCACCCATACAGGCCTTTGTTATATATATTCTGTTAGATGGAGAGAAGAAAACAAAATTCAAAGAGGCAAGAAAATTAGGAAAAAAGAATAAAGAGGAATAAAAAATACAAATTAAACAGAAACTAGTAAAAGAGGGAGCAGGTCAGTGAGGAAAACCTTAAAAATAAAGTAAAACAACAAAACAATACCAATAAAAAGGAAGAACCAAGAGAAAAAAATTGGAAAACAAAAACCCCAGAAAAAAACCCCAACCAGGATGACCCCTATAAAATAAGAAAGGAAACAACTGAAATAACCAAAATAAAAATAACACACAGTTGATATAACATTAACCCAGAGTGTCCACACAGCTCCTGCTATGCCACAGTTAATCACAGGCTGATTGTGGGCAGCCAAGCAGTTTTTCCTCATGGACCGTCAGTTGCCGGCATGAAGCAGGGAGGGCTGGGGCTCCCTCTGAATCTGTGTCCTGGCTGGGGGCTATGGTCAGGTTTCCCTGGATCCCATTGCCTCAGTTGATTTTGGGGGAAGGAACTGTGGTGTAGTTTGGGTAATTTCTGGTTCTCCAGTTCTCCAGTGACTTCTGCCAGGGACATCATGTAGCAGAGCCCAGGTCCGAGCCTACATTGGGGCACCACCTACAGCCAACCCACCAGGCCAGCTTTGTTCTGGGACCTAGACCTGCTGCTCTGTTCTGCCTGACCCAGGGTGAATGAGGATAAATGACAGAGCGACACAGAGACAGTTTAACAGGTGGCCAGCTAGGGGCCTCTTGGCCCTTAGTAGGCAGAAGAGCCACCCACACCCGCACCTGGCTCATCTTGCCTTTATTCACCTTCATTCACGGGCACAAGCAATCAAAGTAACACAAGATTCATCTGCTTTTCAATCTCCATTAGTACACAATGTGGTAAACAACCTCAGGTGTTTTTCACTTTTCCCTAGAACCTGCAATGTGCAATCGCCCTTTGAGTGCAGGCTTTAATCCTTTGTGCTCCCCGAGGAGGCCAATTAGGGATCAGTTCTCATCTGTTCTCCGACAACCTCACACTATTCTGCCTCCTCCACTGCCTGGTAAATATCCAGTTCATCACTTTGTCCTCCCTCTGTAGGCTTTCCTTGCCTGATTTGTGGCCTGGAGATCTCTGGCCCCAGTGCTGTTCACTTTCTTTTCCCACAGAGGTCTGTCTCTCTCTCAGCTCTGTCTGTGGCAACTGGGGCTGTCCCCAGGCTTGGCAGCGGGCCCCTTTGCCACTGCATTGTGGACAAAGATCTCACACTGTCTCAGGCCTGTCCAGTGTTGGGGAAAACACTAGGCAAGCACCTACCCTGTCCTGACTCTGATGAATTGCCCTCTCACCTGGGCACCAATCTCCATTTTCCGCTCACAGATTCCACTCACTCTACTCTCCACTTCTCACACTTTTCTATCACAGTTTAGAATCTCCCTCTCCATCCCTGTCTGGGAGGTGCTACCCCCCTGCCATGTGAGCACTGGCAATGGTGGGTAGCCCCAGAAATGTCCCAGAAGCACAGGGCTCCCAGTGTATATGAAGGGAATGAGGCGTTACATTGTTCTGCGTTGAGTGAACCTTCTGCCCTGCAGTCCCACTGCTCACAGGTGCTGTAGCACTGTTTCCAGGACTCAGGTGCATGGTGTTTTATTCCGCCCTGTCCTTTTGCTTTTGGCTTCTCTCAATCCTCACATTGCATATGTTTCAATCTTGGTATCTGCTAAGGATGTTAGAGTGATTGTGAGTTTATTCCATCAGCCAGGCCATCACTGAAGGGCAAGCCCCTTCCTGCAGTCCAGTCCTCTCCTAAGATGGCACAAAGACCAGGTCTGGGGTGGGCGGTGGGCTGCCGTGATCCAGGAGTGGTCTAGTGTCCCCTCACCCATGGCCTAGACACAGGATTTTAGTCCAGCTAAATTCTCTTTTCATTTATCCTCCTGTGTTAGGGTGTATCTTTTGGTTCCCCTCCAGAATACCTGTTTTTCTTCAGTATCAATTTGGAGACAT